AACGGATATTGTGTTACACACTTGAAGTCATTGGGAGTTCTATTTCATTGTGGTTTTTTTTTCTTTTTATATTTTGTACTATTTGTCTTGAGAGCTAGGGGCATATTGAACACTGCTTTTCAGTTTCAAATTTATGTTATTTGTGAAGACAGTGTATGTGCTTTTTTATGGTTAAAAATATTTCCTTGATTTAAAAGAAATACCAATTCAGTAGTTTTTAATTACTTATTTTAAGTTGTGGGATAAAAAAATTTAATGTTGACATCAAATTGAGAAACAGTTGAAAAAATCAAAGTAAAAAATGAAACATGGGAAAATCCAAAAAAGCTTGTTTTTCTTGTATTTTCTGTGGTGCATATTTATTGAATCCTCAAGAAGCATTTTTACTCTTCTAGTTCTTGTTATCAGGGTTACTTTGGTAAGGCTTTTTGTTTGTTGACATTGTATGTCTCATCAAAATTACCAGGGTACACCCTGTATGTTGTATGTGTTTGCACTGTTAATATAAATATTAATTATTTTTCAAACACTTATGGCTAAATTATTAGTTCACTTAATGACTATTAATTCATTATTATTTTTTTAGAATAAGCTCATTTCTCTGTGGATTTAGTATAGAAATGGTACCAATCTTGACAGTATAGTATTTACGAAGTGTTCCTTTTTCTTTTAGACACCCTTTCACCAGCATCCAGTCCTTCATCCATTAATTTTGCCACAGCTCCAGGTAGCATAGATGAATCACCCAGTGGAGCATTAAACATTGAATGTAGAATTTGTGGGGATAAAGCCTCAGGCTACCATTACGGAGTACATGCTTGTGAAGGTTGTAAGGTACAGTTGTAATTTTCTTTTTAAGAACCTAAATGATGTTGCTTTATTTACAGGGTTATATGAAGATAAGCATTTGTTACATAAATGTTTAATTAATCTAATTCTAGCCATTACAATTATTTTTAAAATAAACATATCTGTGGTCTTTTTTTCTGAAATAAGTTGTTCAGATACCATAACTGGTTATGATAACTCAAGACCAGACCTTCATCAAGCAGGAGCAATTCACAATGATAAATTTAATGCTGCTTTTCTGGATATAGTTAGTTAAACACTAAAACAACTTAAAACACTAAACTGTGACTGAAAGTCAAAGCCTACTTGCTCCACTAGTGTTTTATTTGTGTTGGGAGTATGGCTGTGAGAAGCATGTGAGTTTGCTACACTTCCATTGTAGTAGTAAAAAATCCTGAATTTCTCATCTCCACCACATTCTGCCTGATTCACTTACTGTTGTACCTCTTGTAGTTCTGAGGCCAGTGCATGTAATTAATGTTATCATTAGTGTATAATTTTTGGGATTATGTGGCCCAGGAATTATAAGATTATTTTCTTTTTCCTTCTACTGTTTTAGTTTTCCATTTTTTTTCCAAGTGATAATGTAAAGCGAGGGAAATAATTGTATATGTGTACACTTTTTGCTCATGACCAGTGTTAGAAAATGATAATTCAAATATAAATCTTACAGAATAATGAATGCTAGGGTCTCTATTAGAGATAGGGAGCCAGTTCATAATCAGATGTGTCCACAGTCTAAATGACATGTTATTGTGTCATGTGAAGGAAAATGCTGTAATGTCTCTAAAAAATTTCGCTAAACGTATGATTTCATAGTACAAGACTAGCATTACATTGCAGTATCAAGACATCACGGTAAGATCTGTTGAGTTACAGGCTTTTCTGTAATGCTCATTTTTGTGCTTTGGCTTTTTCTGTACACTGTGCTGTGTTGTCATACACCTCACATTTGCTGGATGAAGAAAAGATGTGTTAAATCTGTGTGTTTATGTGACTTGCACATATGAAAGATGAAGGTTGTTTCTGGCAGAGGATGCTGAGAGAAAGTGTGTAAATGCAGTATGTGACCGTATTGCTTAATCCTTAAGAGCAAATCTGCTCAGGTCCTCTGAGCTCTTGGCCCTCTCCCAAGAAAGAGGGCTGAGACCTATTTCCTGCTTTTGTGTTTCCCCTTCTATACATGCCTTCATACACACCATTTCACTGGGTAGCACAGGAGATTCTTACCTTTGGACAGGTTATACTTTGCATATTGTTTCCTTAGTGACATCAATACACAATAAAAGAAAAAAAAATTACCTGTATGACTGAAGTTTAGTACTCAACATTCTTTAACATTACATATTGTTTTCTTAACCTTTTTATAGGGTTTTTTTAGAAGAACAATTCGATTAAAACTCATCTATGATAAATGTGATCGCAACTGCAAAATTCAGAAAAAAAATCGTAATAAGTGCCAATACTGTCGTTTTCAAAAGTGCCTTTCAGTTGGAATGTCACATAATGGTAGGTAAGAGTGCCCTTAATAATTTGCTTGTTCCTGCCCAGGGTCTGCTTCTGGAAGCAGGCACTTGGATAGCTTTTTTACTTACACATATGAGTTGAACCTCAGATTTTTACAGTATTGATTGTAGAGGGGGGACACCAGTTTCCCTAATGGGTAGTTAATGTAATTGATACACAGCTGCCAAATGTACTTTTATGAGCTTTACACAGTTGTGCTGGATGTCTGTTTGTCCATATGAATGTTCATTTAGTTGCTATCTGCACCCAAGAACTTTGGCACCATTAGTCCCATTGAAACAAATTCAATACTGGAAGAATTTTGATCAAAGGCATTGTAAAGGAGTAGGAGGAGAACAACTAGCTCATTGAGGGGAGACTGATGTAGGACAGAAATCTGTAGGAAACCAGACTTCATTATTTTTCAGATTACAGTGCAACAGCTCTTGGGCAGATGGTTCAGGGATTGTGGGGGGAGGGCAAAGATCTGTGCTGACTGTGGAACAGGAATCTGGTAGGTTGCTTGTTAAATGGAATGGTAAAAATTCAGAGCTTTTAGATATCCAGTTTAAAAATGATGTTATTGTTTATATTAGTGATTTAAGATAAGGCTGGTAAGCCTGTGGCTTCCAGGCCAATTTCAACCCACAAGGCAGTTTTATGCACAGTATGTAGCTTGCTAAGCAACTTTGGTAAAGAGGGAGAGGCCAAGCCATGAGAAAGCACATTTTGGTTGGCCAGATGACAGTAGTTTGTTTTCCCTATGTAGGTCTCATAGCATCAAGGCTGAACTTGGGAGCAGGTGCAATTTGGGAGTAGGTGAAAAGTAGGTGAAAATGCTGGGCTAGCTGAAAAGCTGTGGGTTAGGAGATGAACTTCCTAAGGAAGCTATGCAGTCAGGATATCTGGGATGGGGACATACGTGGTTGGGGAAGCTGTCTATGGCATTGTAGTCTAGAGTCCTAGCAAGAGACATTGGGAGAGTTGACTTTCTGGTTCTGGGGACGTCTGGCTCCCTTGTGGTGAGCCTTGACTGAGACTAAGGTCCATTGGGAGAGGGTTGATAGTCTATGGAAGACTGGTGATAAACTTCCTGAAGTAGCAGACTTGAGAAGGGCATGCCAGCCAAGAAAGTAACATTGCAGGGGCAAGAGTTGAGTAGGGAGCTGTGCTAGTTGGCAGGAATTAACATTCAGTTGAAGCTGTTTTGTTCTACTAAAACGCTGTGGGCACCTGTGCTCCAGCTGAAGGGAGTAGCAGTTTTATTGCAGCGAACACATGGGAGGCAGTGAGGGAAGGAGATGACTGCTAACTTGCAGGCAATACTTCTCAGGAAAAAAGCTGGAACTAGATTTATAGCCACAACCTTAAAACTGTAAGTTTCAGTTTAGAGCAGATGTTCTTCCACTTTTTGAATAGACCCATGGCCCGATTCTAAACAGGCCTTCCATGTTGGACTTCCACTGAACTCCAAAACTGTATTTCAGATCATGCCTAGAGTCACTTCCTTATGTCATGAGACACCTCCTTATGTCATGAGAAAATTCCTTGGGCATGTTGAAGGGCTAATTCTGCACCTGCTCTGAATTGCTCAGTCTAAGCAGTGAGGTTCTGTTCTCTCACTGGTTAGATGCTGAAATGCAGTAAGAGTAAGCAGCTATATTAGCCATCTTGAAACCCTGCACACTATCAGAGGGTAAGACCGCTTTTAAAATGGAGTTGGTTTAGTTTTAAACTGAAACTGAAGAGGGATGTGGACATGCCTATTTTTTTCCTAAATGGCAAGACCACTTGCCCAAGAACTGGGAGACCTCCATACCCCGTGGTATTTCAGACTTGCATCTCCTGCCTCAGGAAAAGAATGACTAGATTGGATACTCAAACTCTATTCTCATCCTCCACAATCTTGAAGGGTTAATTTATTGAAAAAAGAAGCATAAAATGCTGGGTCTAGAAGGAAGTTTTGTTGACTATAGCCTTTGAGCATAAATCCAGGTCTCTGGTCTATTTTGTTCTCACTAGACAGTACAGATATGTTGAACTGAACATCCAGTGCATAAAGAACTGAATGCCCTAGCAGGTTCAGAATCAGCAATGGAATTTGGGCCCAAATCCGTTGCAGTGTTTGCTGTGGAATAGTTCCCCAGGCAGCTCTCCAGACAGCATGTGTGTTCTCTGCCAAACTCCTGACATGAGTTAACTCAGGTTTTTTAGAATTCCCAAGGTGGACTTTGAGTTTCATGTTGGGAGTTGTGGAACACAATAAGGAGAGAACAAGATACAACTACTTAGGTAATGTAGAAGGAAAAAGGCATACGTTCTAGCTCATTGACATCTGATTACCTTCAGTTTAGCATATTGACTTGATAATTATCACTGACTATGTTGGAAAGGATGAGATTTTTTTCACTCATGAATTTATCAGAATAAAGATACTACCTCTATCTCAGTTATTCTAGACAGAAAGTCCTACTGCTCTAATCAGCAAATAGGCGTAGTCTTTTGTATAACTTATGCTTGTTTTACAATTATGTCTTCCCATCAGCAATACGTTTTGGACGAATGCCAAGGTCTGAGAAGGCCAAGTTGAAAGCAGAAATTCTAACAGGTGAAAATTACGTAGAAGATTCAGAAATGGCAGATCTTAAATCACTTGCCAAAAGAATTCATGATGCTTACCTGAAAAACTTCAATATGAACAAGGTTAAAGCCAGAATCATCCTTGCAGGGAAAACTAATAACAATCCAGTAAGTACTTTTGCTGTAACTTTAAAGTAAAACCGGCAAATACATAAGGTGACTATAATAATTTGTTAAATTCTTAAGCAAATCTTTTAGAAAATAAATATCATGCTAATACAAACATGAAATACGCAAAAAGAATACCTGTAGTAAATATGGTTGCTTTTAGCTACTATCAGAATAATAGGAAGCTTTAGGAAAATCAGGTGATTAACTTGTAAATGGAAGCTCATAACCTTAAATTATATTAGAGACACAAGGGAAATAAAATTAGTTCTTAATTTAAAAAGTTCTATTTGAATGTGAATACCTCTTGGTATGGGTGGACGAAATGGTTCAAAATTAATTTCCTATTATGAAAGTGAAACAAAAATTTTAATGTTTTTCCGCTACAAATGCCAGGATAAATACTGTTATCTTTTAGAGCTCTACAGGAGCTCTGTATGACTTTTGTTTTAATCACAACAATATTAATGGCAGGAGGGGAAAGAAAACTTGAGTTTGTAATTCTTTGTTTACAGTTCTGGCCATTTCCTCACCCGGCCCTCCTAGTCTTTACTGTGTGGTTACTTTAAAAGGCAGAAGCCAGCAAGGTTGTGAAGACATGTATGCTGTATTTCTTTCAGGAAAATTTAGCCAAGGTCTATCTAATGCTATCGACTGCTTTTTGGTTTGTATCACATGAGATAGTATAACCATTGTAAGGACTGACTTGTTTCACTTTATGCGTATTTTTAAAAATTCTGTTGTGATTTCTGTTCATTATATGTAGAAGATAAAATTGTTGGTAAAATAAGATACTTAATTTCAGTAAAAATTTGCAGGGAAGAGGTTGTAAAACCTCTATGTGCCATAATAAAAACCATGTAACTGTGGGGATGAGCGTTATAACAATTGTAAGCAAGCTGTCTTCTGAATTACGGAATTTGGTGTATTATAGTCTAGTCTAGCCAAGCATACAGGCTTCTACATTAAAAGAGAGACATATGAATAATCCCAGTCTTTTTCACTAGATTTAAGAGATGCTTAAAATTAAGCAGAGGCTTAAACTTTTTTGGGGGTACAAGCTGACATAGGCCTACAGTAAATACCATGCTTTAACACCTTACCAAGTAAGTGTTGCACAAAGTCCTTTTCAAGCTTATTATCACATGTCAGAATCATCAGTTGCAGTATGTATCGTACATGCAGGGCTTCTGGATCACTGCATCCTAATTTTTGTGTCCGTATTTATGTGATCAAGGCTCTCAGATTGTAGTCATCCAATTGACTAGCTAATTGTGGCTTGCATGTGTCTTGGTGAATTTACAAGTAAAAATTAATGAGGAATCAAACCTAGTATCATAGAATCATAGAATGGCCTGGGTTGAAAAGGACCATAGTGATCATCTAGTTTCAACCCCCCCACCACATGCAGGGCCACCAATCACTAAACCAGGCTGCTCAGAGCCACATCACATCACAGAGCCACAGTATATTATAGACAGGCTGCTTCCTCATTCTTCAATATGCAGGGGGAGAGGTTTTTTAAGTTATTTCATCATCTCTTGGGAAAACAGGCATTTTTGTTTTCTTTTGACTTTTAAACAGAAAAATTTTTAAAATTGGGGGATTTGTTATTGGTAATTAGTAATCCACCTATTTCTGAACAGTGCATTAACAGCTGATTTCAGTGAATCCTTATTCTTGGCACCGCTCTAACTCATTTTAGAATGATCTAGCATCTTTTATGATGACCAGGGATCATTCTTAATTTTGTCTCCTAAGTCCTTGGCAATACCTATTTTCTGCATAGTGAAATGATAATAAATTCCAAAAAAGATTTACAAGATAGACCACATCTTTTAAAGGGTTTAGAAATGTGGTGATTTCATTGCTTTGCCACTTTCTGCTCATATTCACATGCACATAGAAAGTTGTGTTCTGTATGACTCTAAGTACTGAAGCGATATCAAATGTGTAGTTGTCATATATAAAGTGGACAACTCTGGGAAACTAGCATGTTTGACAGTTTTCTAAGTGAAATAAGTGAGTTCTATGAGTTTCTAACAGAACACCAAGTGTTCCTCATGATACAATTTGAGACAAGCAAAACAGCACAGAGAAGGTGCTTTGCTTAGCATTTATGAAACTAAATATATGTTCAAGGTCAATTGCTATGACTTTGGTAGGCTTGGAAGCACTGGGTTTTGTTTAGCTTGAGTGAATTGTCCTCTGTTTTGATTACTGCTCTTCAGATATGTATCAAAATATTTTTGTGTTCTGATTGTTCTTAAGAAAGCCTGACTGCCTTTTTAATAGACTGGCTCATCAGTTTGTAATACACATACCTTTATAAATTAAGGGGGTTATGGAAAAAGACCATGATCAAGACTGAAATTTTGTGTTGTCTGACATCCTAGTGGGATTCTGGGTTTAGAGATGACTTAGCACTAACTGTAGCTGGAAAGATGAGCTGAATTTCTGTGGAAGATCAGCTGGGACGTAGTCCATGAAAATCTGAGTTAATAAAACACAAGAGTAGTACAGGGTTCACATTCTTGTGCAAATGTGCTGTCCTATATTTAAATGACTGTCTGTATTCCCCCTAGGATACTTCAGGAAAGCATCATGATGTGCATCAAGTGTAGTTAGTTTAGGAATCGATAGGAATGTAGGCAGAATAACCTGGACTTCTGGAGAAGGTAATACAAGTCTTTTGGGAACCTTCTGGGACTTGCTCTGGATGGATATATACATACTAAGCACAGTACTTCTGGATCTTCACTATAACTACTACATAAACTAGATTAAAGATATGTCATACATATTTACATTTTACTATTTGCATTGTTGTTGCAGAGCAGACTTGTTCTTAGATACTGGAGTTTGTAGTTCTGTAATATATGGTTTCTCTTTATGCAGAAATATGAAAGAACTCAAGGTTTACTGGTAGTTGAAGACTGATTAGCATGAAAGTTAAAGTTTATAAAAATTCTTATTCTTTAGGAAACCAATGATTGATAGCCATTCTTTTGTAAGTGAATTTGTGGTTTTTTTCCTCTGTAGCCATTTGTTATACATGATATGGATACCTTGTGTATGGCAGAGAAGACACTGGTGGCCAAATTGGTAGCCAATGGAATTCAGAACAAGGAAGCAGAAGTTAGGATCTTCCACTGCTGCCAGTGTACATCAGTAGAGACTGTCACAGAACTTACTGAATTTGCCAAATCTATCCCTGGCTTTTCCAATCTTGACTTGAATGATCAAGTGACACTGTTAAAATACGGAGTTTATGAAGCCATATTTGCCATGTTAGCATCTGTGATGAACAAGGACGGGATGCTCGTAGCCTATGGAAACGGTTTTATAACCCGGGAGTTCCTGAAAAGTCTGAGAAAGCCATTCTGTGATATAATGGAGCCAAAATTTGATTTTGCAATGAAATTCAATGCACTGGAATTGGATGATAGTGATATATCCCTTTTTGTTGCTGCCATCATTTGCTGTGGAGGTAAACACTACATATTTGTTCTTTAAGATAGTAAATTTTAAAATTTTCTTCATGTGAATTAATAATTTTAATGGAAAAGCTTATCTATTTCTTGAAGATTCAATTCTACCACTAACAATGTCATTTTCCCTTTTAGCATGTTTCATGGAAGATACTGTGTAACTGTTACCAGTCTTGATCCTGTATTTTGCTTTGCAGAACTGTAGACGTGCTTGGAATTACTGTTTAGCCTGACTTAGAGAGGCATCTAGTTACTCTCTGTTTTTAAAAGCAGGATGCGAGGAGTGTTGGTGTTTTTTGTTTGGGGGTTAGAGGATTTTTTTTTTTATTTTTTTTATGCTTAAGGCTGGGTTGGAAACAGTATTTGTATCTGTCAAATGGGCAGAAAAATACTATGTAATGAGGCTGGAGGCCGATACAGAGTATAGCTTTGCTCATCTTTGACACTTACTGATTGCATCATGTAATGGTTTCTGCACAAATGCACAGCTCTGTTGATGCACCTCCTGAGTTCTGATTTTAATATCACAGGCTATTTTAAAAAAACAGCTTACTTAACTAATTAAAAAACAATTAGCTTATGGTATTTTTAAAAATTATTTCATAGTAACTAAGGATATGGAGTTTGGTTTTTTTTTTAATGCCCGTTGTTTGAACTCTCTGTGAGTAAAGGAACACAAATGCAATCCTTTCTTTCCTCCAGACAGTAAGGACGTTCATACTTAAGGTTAAATTCAAAACTATCCATAAGCATTTTGAAAAAGGGAAATAAAAGATCAAGAAAGTTCCAACAACTACTCCCACCTGCCTTTTCTGCATTCTGCCAAACTTACAGGATATTTCACTGCCCCAGTTGTATCCTCAGCAATTACAATAAGAGTGTCTGTAGACTTTCAAAAACTTAATATGCCAGTTTAGACAGCAGGTTCCCATCAGATCTTGAATTACTTTTGCACAGTACATTGGTATTTTGATGTTTTCAAAAGTCAAGAGAGTTCTTTGCCAGCAAAATGTTGGGTGGTTTTTTTCCCTTCTATGCTGATCCTTGGAACAAGCTGAAGGGTTCAAGAAACATATTTAGTCTGTTGCCCCAGACTTCTTCCAGAGAAGTTTGATCTGGAGAGTGAAAGTATTACGGGACTGTAAGTAGCTGAAAATGAGATCATATACTAGGAAGAGTGGAACATCCTTAATAGGTGCTTCTCTGTGTCCTGTCAATAACTTGTGCTACCGCAATATACATATGGGAACCAAGAGTGAAAGCCTGTTACTTACGTCTTACAGAATTGCTACCAAACTTCAAGAACTCTCTAGAAGTAGCCACATGCTTTTTTCTTCATCCTTACTGTTTGAATTCTGTTATCAGGACATACAGAACTGGATTCCTAGGCAGGATACTTCTGCTGGGTTTTGGGGTGAGAGGGTGGTGGGGTTTTTTTCCTTTGTAGCATGCGTTGTAGTGTGAAATCTCTCCTCAAATGACTGTGGGAATTAAAAAAACTTTGGCCAAAGGGATAGGGAAGACTACTTTTTTTTCTTACTATTATTTTCTTTTTTTTTTTTAAAGATTTCATTTTGACCCTCATTGTCCTCAGTGTATAATGTAAAAATATACAGTAGCCTAAAATACAGTATCTAAACAGTAGCCTACTTTAAAGAATAATTATAAAATTATGACATGTATCCTTTTGTTTCCTTTGAGAACAGATCGTCCTGGCCTTGTAAATGTAGGACACATTGAAAAAATGCAGGAGAGCATTGTGCATGTACTGAAACTTCACCTGCAAACCAACCATCCTGATGACATCTTCCTCTTCCCAAAACTTCTCCAAAAAATGGCTGACCTCCGACAACTTGTCACAGAGCATGCTCAGCTTGTTCAGATAATTAAGAAGACTGAATCTGATGCACATTTACACCCTTTACTACAGGAAATCTACAGGGATATGTATTAAGGATTTTTAGTATTTTTTCCACATTATTTAAAGACAAGCAATACTAATAACAGATGGGAGCAAAACTCACAGCAGAACTGTGCAAAAAGCAGTTATCTGCTGTTCACTCAGTCCAGAGCATGAAAAATCTAAAAGCAGGGTAACAGGGGTGTTACACTTTTTTTGGTTTCTTTTGGGATCTTTTGTCTTCTTTTTGAAAGAGTTCTGCAGAAAAATACTGATCGTAGTGCTCATGAAGTGTCTTACAATGGTTCTTTTATTTGGAAATTTGAAGATTGGTAAGGAATACATATTTGTATAATAAATCAGAATGTTAAGTAACAAATGAACAGAATTGTATTTCCTCTTGACTTAGTTGTTTTAGAATTAATATAACAAATTCAGCAAACGCTCTCCAGGTATATGCACAATCATAAAGATTATGCACTTTTGGCTAATGGTAATTACTGAGAAGCAAGTAACACTTTTTTTTACAGCAGCCAGTCTAGGTGTATCACATGGTTGGATGTTACTGTACATACGCTTGTAAAAAAAAATTGAAAGGCCCTTGATCCGCTGCTGTTTTAATTCCATGAAATGCAGTACAGTTTCATAAAGTATTACACTAGTATACTTTAGGGTTAGCATGTTTAAAAGATGGTTCTTTTATGAAATGAAAGAAAATCTGAAGAGTTATCTAAAATACAGTAGGAATGCTCCATTCAGTTGTTTCTTGAAGAGTAAATGTGATAAAGCGATGGAACCCTTTTTTCAAAAGTGTTTTAAGGAAATATGAAAATGTCCCTGAGTAAAAATATGTCACACCATGTGTATTTGGGAGAATTTGCAATAGCTCGAGATGTGGTTTGGACTTAAAAGTACTATTTTGAATTAGCAAGAGTTTTGGAGAGACTGAAAAATCTGATCCTAGCCCAGAAATAAGAATTTCAACTGTGCAGCATTCTAGTGCAGTGATAGCTTACTCTGAATAAATGATTGTATAGGAAAGGCACCTTATTCCTTGATAAGTATCTTGGCAGTATAGACTTGTTAGGACCTTTTCTGATGAGTACACTGTTTCAGTTTTTTCCAATTATGCACTCAGATGTATTTCTTTCAATTCCTTCTTAGGCCTTGTCGGTAGAAGTACTGGCTAGATTATTTCACCAAATTTTGTTCTTGTCCATACAGCCATAGTAGATAAGGTGACAATATTACCAAGAACAGTGTTTGTAGGTGTCAATGGTGTAATATTATGAAAGTGAGCACAGCTGAGAGTAAGTTTACTGTGTTCCTGAGAGCAAACTCTGATTTTACAATAGTACTTACTCCTGAGGCAAAATAAGCCATAAGAAAACTGCTTGACTTTGCCATTTTACAGAGTCCTTTATCAGAGAGTGCTGCACAAAAGTGGTAGTTGCATGCAAGACACTGCTATTTAGTTTTTCATTTTTTTAATATGGTAACTTCACACTATTATTTCCTTATTTTACTGTTTGTTTCATGATACAAAGATCTCGGAAGCCCATCTTAGCATTTTCACAATAGTTAAGCTTTCAATGGCACAGGAGGACACTTTGTACTTGTTTTATTGTAGCACGTTTGAAGACTTCAGAATCTTACACCTTCACTGCAAGATTTAAGTAAGATCAATAAAGTGAGGACATCACACTAGGATTCTTATTTTAGTCACAACGTTTGTTTCTTTACAGGCCTGCTGGCATGGCTAGACACTGAACAAATTACAGGTTTAAAAGCAATTGGGTATTAATCCAGGCAGTGATCATTAGCAGAGGTTTTAGTGTGAAATATATTTAGTGTAAAATATTGAAGCATAGGCCTCAAATTTGGTGACCATCTAGGGCAGGACAGAAACAACAAATGCAGGTTAACAAAACTCTCTCCCTTTCCCTGTGGCCAGTTGGCAACGGGAAGAATAGACCTTATGTTACAGTTAATTGGAACACTTTGTTAAGATCATTGGTCTTACTAGGAAACAGCAGATGAGAAATAGATTGTCTTTTGTGTCTTAACAGCAGTATGTAGTATGCCCTCAGAAATAACAAGAGGATTTTAGCAATGGTGCTGCTTTATTCTTCAAGGCTGCCATATTTCACTCAGAAACGGGGGGGTTTAGGCATAAAACACTGAGCACTGAAATAACTGATACGCAATATTGCTTATTCAAAAAATTGTCAAAATATCAGCAATTCTGTGATGGCATACTGAAACTCTAATAGCCAACTGTTTTAAGTTTATAATCTGAAAAAAGTATAAGTTGATTTCTCCCCACCCCCCCCACCCCAAAATTGTGTTCCATAGTTTCGGTGTACTGAAGTTTCTCAGGAAAACCAACACTGTGTGGACAAAAACTATTTTTCCTGCTCTTGTTCTCAGAAGTGGCTAAAAGGCTTTACTAAAACTTTTCAAAACCGTGGAAAATTTAATAATAAATACATTCTCAGCAAAACTATAAAGAATTGAAAACAGCATCATTCAGTGGAAGGCATAGTGTTGAGCTGTATTAACAGCTGCTTGTAACAGGTTCCTATTATCAGCATTAGGAAAGTGCATGATTTGCATTTTTCCATTTTGTTTTGTTATTTGAAAGCTAGCAAGCATTTTTTACTAGTTCCTTGGACACTGAAGTTTGATTTCTGTTTTAAATTAAATTGAAGACCTGCGATGAAAAAAAATAAAGGAAAGAACGCATCTCGAAATTACAGAAACATGAACAAGATGTTAACGGAGCCTAAAATTCTGCATAGATTCTACTGGCCATACTGCTGCACCGTGACATACCCACAGTGTCTGCAAAGAACGACACAGGGCAGACAGTTCACTTCCCAAGTGTTAATGGGCAAAAGAAGTTCTTAATTTCTCATTACACTTGTAATGAAGCACATTTGCTACTTCAGTAGGTGACTGCAGCAGGCTTTTGCCAATTAGATTTCAAAATTACTCCGTTTGGGTTTGGGTTTGGGTTTTTTTTGAAGTCTGGAATCTGAACTAGTTTGAGATATATTACTGAGGAGCCTTCAGCATCTCCAGTAATATTTTAAAATACCCATTCTATGGAGGGAAATAAAGTGATCAGATTTTAGGATTAAAAATCTATTAAAAATTTACTGGCTTGTTTTGTATAGTTTTGATCTGATTCGTATCAACATGGCTTATTTTGCTACCATAGCACTGAAGAACTCTGGTTAGCAATGAGGTACCCACAAACAGCTTAAGACGAGACAACAGATGGACAGGAAATCCTAGGAAACAATGGTACGACTAAAGTTTTCAACACACCTACAGCTTACTAATTTTTGTGAGTTGTTTGAGTTTTACAAATTTATTTATTGGGATGCCCTAGGTACTTCGAAAGGGAAGGCAAAAAAAAAAAAAAAAGGAAGGTGGTGTGTCAAGTGCTGGGGAAATCTGATGTTCACTTTTATCTTGTTCTTAAATAGTTTCTTTAAAGGTGTACTGTCTTCAGTGTAACAGCACACAAATACCAATTTAAAAAAAGTTACATTGTAACTTTTTAAATTTCAGAATCCCGCTTTTATTTTAAATACAGATTGACAGACAATACATAGGAATGCTTTCCATTTACAGAAATGGAATCTTTCCTCACATTTAAGGAATTTTTTTTTTTTTGACTGCCATTTCCATGTGCCTTTGTGCTTTGGTTCTAACCAGCTGCTAGAAAGCTGAAGTGTTGCCAAAGAGCATATTCTTGCATTATTTCTGGATGCACAGATTTAGGAAATACCAGCAGTTGCACTAAGTCTGTTCTCATGAGAGAGCTAGCACAAATTTGCAAATCAAAAGGCTTATAATAAGCATCTAAACATTTGTTTGTTTATTCAAACTGCTAAAACTTGGGAGACTTATTCATCACAAGAGCTGGGTCACATACTATTAGATTTGAATTTCCTCTGTATTTCTAATGGAAAGCCTGGACATCTTTACGCACCATCTCAGACAAAGCAGCTGAAGATGACACTGTAGCTGCCTGTACTGTGCCTGAAGAGGAACAATTTCAGCTCTGTCTCTCCTTAAAAGTATCCCTGTTACTTAGTTGAAAATCTGCAACTACATTTAGCAAATGCATTTGCAGCTGTTTTGATACTGCTGAAGCATAAGGTCTTACGAATAATGGTCCTTCCCTGAAATCCCTAATCCTTTAGTACGTGTTGAAATGTAAAGTGTAGTGTGGTATTTGGTGTTTGCTTATATTTTAAGTGCGTTCTTGATAATCGGTTGCATATAATTTTTTTTATACCTAGCTTTAATCAGCTTTATTATCCTTCTTTTACTAGAGATTTAAATTATATGTGGGTTTGATCTAAAATTATTGATATTGTTATGTATTGTGGGATTTTTTTAATTTAATGTAATACCATTTCTTCATGTTTCAGTTTGTAAAATACAAAAATACAATTGCAAGATATAAACTTTCACTAAATTATATTACAGAAGTGCTTTAAGAAAAATATGTAAATTATTTAATTTAAATATTTGTTTCATACTTTATCTTGTGAACCCTTTTGTACAGTGAGGAAAGATTTACTTTTATGGGTAAGGATGATGGGCCTGAAGTCAAAGACAAACTGCTATTTATTCCTGTCTGGTCTTTATTACTGTATCATTTGTGAAGAACTATCACAATTCTACAACTTACCAGTGTTCCATATTGACAACTGTAAGCAAATTTTAAAATATATTTTCACACAGAACATAAACTTCCTTTTATTTCATTTTAATAAAAGTAAGTCTAGGTGAGGAAGAGCTGTAATCCCAAAACTGAGTTAATATTTTTAATGTTTTAACTCAAGTTCACCAATATGAAAGATAGTTTATAGAGCTAAATTCATCTTTGCTTTACAGCACAGTAGTTTGTTTTCCTTAAAAGTCTGAAAAGAGAACAAAAAAGAGATAGATTCTGTTAGAACTCTATTACTGATATTTTTCTGATTTGTGGCTTATGAGAAATAACAATGTGTATTCAGGATCATTTCCTGCTACCTGCACTAAGGTTGATCTGCAATTTTTATAGATGTATTTTAAAATAAGTAATTTGTCAGTGCAAAACAAAACGTTGAAATGCCATTTTCAGGCTTTTCTGTAGGAGTATTCCTTTATGATTTTAAGTAGAGATAAATGCAGAATCTGTTCATAGGGATTCTGTGTCCTGTGATTCAGGTGTGACAATCTGTGCCTACGGC